CAGCTCACCAGCCACTCATCTCCAAGCCTTTAGTGTTGCAAGGGGTTGTTGTGACCAAAGTGCAGGACCCAGCACTTGGCCTTGTTGAACTTCATACAGTTGGTCTCGGCCCATCGATCCAGCCTGTCCAGATCCCTCTGTAGAGCCTTCCTACCCTCCAGCAGATCAACACTCCCACCCAGCTTGGTGTCCCCTGCAAACTGACTGAGGGTGTACTCGATCCCTTTGTCCAAATCATCAACGATGATGTTAAACAGAACCGGCCCCAAAACTGAGCCCTGAGGAACACCACTGGTGACCGGCCGCCAACTGGATTTAGCTCCAATCACTACCACTCTCTGGGCTTGGCCAGCCAGCCAGTTTTTCACCCAGAGAAGGGTATGTCTGTCCAAGCCATGAGCTGCCAGTTTCTCCAGTAGAATGCCTTGGGAGACAGTGTCAAAGGCCTTGCTGAAGTCAAGGTAGATCACATCCACAGCCTTTCCCTCATCCACCAGGTGGGTCACCTGGTCATAGAAGGAGATCAGGTTGGTCAAGCAGGACTTGCCTTTCATTAAACCATATTGAAGTGATATGAGATGTAATGTGTAACTGCGTTGGCAATGACGGAATAGGAATTACGCCAGGAGCTTTATAGTAGTCCTAGGAATTAACATAAGCCACTGCAATAATTATTAAATCATTTGTAGTTATTAATTCTAACAGTTTGTTGAGAAAATGAAAGATTTTCATGCTGATTCTCTACTCAGGCAAGCGTTGTTTTCAATGTTTTTGCTCTAGGCTTTAGAATTCAAGATATGCAAGATGCGTCCATCTGCAAAATCTCTTATATGCGGGGAACAGTGGAGTTACAGTGCTAACCAGAGATTTGCCTCACTAGTAAATGGCTATACTCTTCTAGTGAAGGTGTATTCACTTGTGCATAGTGTTCTGCATGTGGATGTTTTCCGTTACTCGAGGTGTGAAGAGCTTGTGAATATTCGAGATGTGCTTATTGAAGAATGTTATGCTGAACTAGCAGAAGAATCATACGAATCACAAGTATGTGTTGAGTAAGCTGCTTCTACTTTTCTTATACTAATTTATTTTAACTCGGGCTGTATGAAGTCCTGAGAAGTTGAGCTCAAGTCTTGATTAATGCCATGGGATTAGGCAAGATTAGTACTTGAATGGGATGATGTATTTTTATGTGTGTACATAATTCATATTGAGCTGTTGGCCAAAAGCATTGCTGCTTTGAGGCACCTTTTGACCAGGAGATAATTGCATCAGTTGCACTGCTCCACTGTTTTTTGAAACTCTGAAAAAATTTAACTGTTTCATAATTTTAATTGTCTTCTATTTTTATGTTTTATATAAACTGAAAGGTGATAAGAACATTGTTATTTGTATGCAAGTATGTATGTTCTCTGTTTAGGACCTTTTTTGTAAAATTTTTGAAAAATGTAGCTTTCATGGT